AAAAAACAGGGAAAATGGGTGAAAGGGGGGGAAATGGGGGGAAACAGGAAAAACGGGGGAAAGGGGGAAGGGAATAAAAGGGGGGGAAACAGGAGAAACGGGGAAAAAACGGGGGAAAGGGGGGGAAAAAGGGGGGGAACAGGGGGAAATGGAGGGAAAATAGCGGAAAGAGGGAAAAGGGGGAAGGGGGGAAATCAGGAGGTAACAGGAAAAAGAGGGAAAAGGAGGGGGAAAGGGAAAATCAGGGAGAAACGGGAAAAAGAGGGGGAAACAGAGAAAAAACGGGGGAAAACGGAGGAAAGGGGGGGAAACCAGGAGGAAACAGGAAAAACAGGGGAAAAGCGGGGGAGAGGAATGGGGAGAAAACCAGGAGGAACCCGGCAGGCGCAGGGAAGGAGGGAGCAGCGCTCGGTCCCTCCCGGCGCGGGGCGGCAGCGGCCCCTCGTGGCACCGCCCGGGCAGCCCACGGGGGGGGTCGGCCCCGGGCACGGCCCCCCCAGAGCTCCCAGTACCCCCCAGAGCTCCCCAGTACTGCCCTAGGGCCACCAGTACCCCCCAGAGCTCCCAGTACCCCCCAGAGCTCCCCAGTACTGCCCTAGGGCCACCAGCACCCCCCAGAGCTCCCAGTACTGCCCTAGGGCCACCAGTACCCCCCAGAGCTCCCCAGTACTGCCCTAGGGCCACCAGAGCTCCCAGTAACCTCCAGAGTTCCCCAGTACTCCCACAGCCCCCCAGTGCCCACAGAGCCCCCCCGTGCCCCCAGTACCTCCTGACACCCCCAGTACCACCCTAGCCCCTGTACCCCTAAAACCCCCCAGTCCCCCTATAACCCTCCAGTCCCCCTATAGCTCCCTCAGTACCCCATAGCTCCCCAGAACTCCCCATAACCCCTAGTACCCCTCAAAGCCCCCCAGTATCCCCTTAGCCCCCTTGGTCCCCAGTGCCCCATAGGCCCCCCAGTAATCTCCCAGTAGCCCCTGGAGCTCCCCCCCATAACTCCCAGTTCCCCATAGCCCCCAGTACCCACAGAGTGCCCAGTACCCCCGGAAGCCCCCCATGAGCTCCCCATAGCCCCCTCAGTATCCCCCATAGCCCCCAGTAACCCCATAGCCCCCAGTACCACCCAGAGCTCCCCAAGTACCCCCCATAACCCCCAGTAACCTCCCAGAGCACCCAGGACCCTCAGAGCTACCAGTACCCACATAGCCACCCCAGTGTCCCCATAGCCCCCAGTACCCACATAGCCCCCCTCCGTGTCCCCATAGCCCCCAGTACCCACATAGCCCCCTAGTGTTCCCATAGCCCCCAGTACTCCCATAGCCACCCCAGTGTCCCCATAGCCCCCAGTACCCACATAGCCCCCCTCAGTATTCCCCATATCCCCCAGTAACCCCATAGCCCCAGTACCCACATAGCCCCCCCAGTGTCCCCATAGCCCCCAGTACCCACATAGCCCCCCCAGTGTCCCCATAGCCCCCAGTACCCCCCATAGGCCCCCAGTACTCCCACAGCCATCCCAGTGCCCCCATAACCCCCATTACCCTCATAGCCCCCCACGAACCCCACATAACCCCACAGTAACCCCATAGCCCCTAGTACCCACATAGCCCCCCCAGTGTCCCATAGCCCCCAGTACCACATAGCACCCCAGTGTCTCATAGCCCAGTCTCCATAGCCACCCCAGTCTCCCCATAGCCCCCAGTACCCAATAGCCCCATGTGTTCCCATAGCCCCCAGTACTCCCATAGCCACCCCAGTGTCCCCATAGCCCCCAGTACCCCCCATAGGCCCCCAGTACTCCCACAGCCATCCCAGTGCCCCCATAACCCCCATTACCCTCATAGCCCCCTGCGAACCCCACATAACCCCACAGTAACCCCCATAGCCCCCCATAGCCCTCCATACCCCCAGGGCCCCCTAGTACCTCCCATAGCCCCCCAGTACCCCCATAGCCCCCCAGTACCCCCATAGCCCCCCAGTACCCCCCATAGCCCCCAAGAACTCCCCAGAACCTCCAGTAACCTCCATAGCCCCCAGCAACCCCATAGCCCCCTGTACCCCCCATATACCCCACTACCCCTGTAGCCCCCTCAGTACCCCTCCACAGAAATAGTCTCATAGCCCCCCCAGTGCCTTCACAGCCCCCCAGTACTCCCCCCTATGGCCCCAGTACCCCGTAGCCCCTCCCCGAACCCCTACAGCTCCCCAGTACCCCCTAGAGCCCCCCAGTACCTCGCTATAGCCCCTCGGGATCCCCCCATAACCCCCAGTACCCCCCATAGCTCTTAGTAGCCCCCCATAACCCCCAATTACCCTCTAGAGCTCCCCAGGACCCCCCACAGCCCCCCAGTGCCCCATAGTCCCCCACGCCCCCTATACCCCCCTAGCCCCCAGTACCCCCATAGCCCCCAGTACCCCCATAGCTCCCAGTACCCCCCTAACCTCCCAGTGTCCCCATAGCCCCCAGTGCCCCCCTAGCCCCCAGTACCCCCATAGACCCCCAGTGCCCCCATAGCCCCCAAGTACTCCCCGCAACCCCCAGTGCCCCCATAGTCCCCAGTGTCCACATAGCCCCCAGTGTCCCCAGAGCCCCCACAGGACCCCGTAGCTCCCAGTGCCCCCATAGCTCCCCCAGTGACCCCAGAGCCCCCCCCGTACCCCACATAGCCCCCCCATAGCTCCCAGTACCCTCCTATAGCCCCTCAGTACGCCCCATAACCCCCAGTGACCTCCATGGCCCCAGTTCCCCCCATAGAACCCCAGTAGCCCCCCATAGCTCCCTCAGTAACTCCCCAGTACTCCCACAGACCCCAGTGCCCCCCCCCAGCCTCTCCAGTACCCCTACAGTCAACCAGTACCCCCATAGCCCCCCACAGCTCCCAGTAACCTTCATAGCCCTCCCAGTACCCCCATAGGCTTCCCTGGGGTCCTCCCCAGAGTCTTTACAACCCCTGCAGTGCCCTCCCATGGACCCCCAGTTCCTCCTCATAGCCCTCACAGCCCACCCAGTACCCCCCAATATCCCCCATAGTCCCCCCTGTATCCCCAGAGCCCCCCAATATCCCCCCATAGCCTCCAGTACCCCCATAATCCCCCCCCCCCAGTAACCCCCAGTGCCCCCAGAGCCCCCTGGGTCTCCCTATAGACTACCAGTGCCCCAAAGGCCCCCCCATAGCCCCTAGTACCCCCCATAGTCCCTAGTTCCCCCAAAGGCCCCCCCATAGCCCCTAGTACCCCCACAGCCCCTCAGTGCTCCCCCAGTCTCCCCCAGTTCTCCCATAGCCTCCCCTGGGGTCCCCCCCATAGCCTTTATAACCCCCCAGGACTCCCCCAAGGCCCCCCAGTTCCTCCCATAGCCCTCACAGCCCCCTCCAGTACCCCCAATACCCTCCATAGACCTCCCAGTACCCCCAGAGCCCCTCAATATCCCCCCATAGCCTCCAGTACCCCCATAACCCCCCCACTAACCCCTAGTGCCCCGGTAGCCCCCCCAGTACCCCCAGGACGCCCAGGAACCCCCAGTACCCTCATAGCCACCTCCAGTGTTTCCCCAATTCCCCCCAGTACCCCCAGAGGCTTCCCTGGGGTCCCCCCCATAGCCTTTACACCCCCCCCCAGGGCTCCCCATGGCCCCCCAGTTCCTCTCCATAGCCCCCCCAGTACCCCCAATCCCCCCCCAGTTCTCCCAATCCCCCCCCCGTGTCCTCCGGTGGGACGGACCCCCCCGGGCGGGAGGGGTTTGGTGCCCACGGGTGACCCACGGGTGACCCACGGGTGACCCACTGCCAGACCCACGAGCCCCGCCGTGACCCCCGGGAGCACCGGGAGAGGTGCCACCACCCCCCGCCACCACCTCCCACCGGCACCGGCCCTGAGACCCCCGGGGACACCCAGGGAACACCGGGGACAGACCCCGGGCTCCGGTGACACCTCGCGCCGCCACCTCCCGCCAGTACCGGCCCCGGGCAGCCCCGGGGACCCCCCCGGGTGACCTCCGGAGCACAGGGGACTGGTGCCAGCCCCGCCGTGCCGCAGCATCCCGCCGGTACCGGTGCTCAGCACCCTCGGGGTGACCCCGGGGAACATCGAGGACTGGTGTCACCGTCCCTCCGGTGCAGCATCCCGACGGTCCCGGCCCCGGGCAGCCCCGGGAGCACCCCCGGGTGACCCCAGGCAGCACTAGGGACCGGTGCCACCATCCCCACGCTGCAGCTTCCCACCGGTGCCGACCCTCAGCATCGCCAGGGTGACCCCGGGTGACCCCGGGCAGCACGAGGGACCGGTGCCATCATCCCCACGCTGCGGCTTGGGCCGGTCCCGGCCCCGGGGCATCACCGGGGGGTCCTCAAACAGCACTAGGGATCGGATTCCCGCCGCCCCCCACCGGTCCCGACCCTGGGCATCACCGGGTGACCCCGGGTGACCCCCGGTGGCGGCGAGGCCCGGTGCCACCATCCCTGAGGTGCACCACCGCACCGGTCCCGGCTCTGGGCACCCCGGGGTGACCCCGGGTGACCCTAGGCAGCACCGGGGACCGGTGCCACCATCCCCCCGCCACTGCATCCCACCGCTACCGGCCCTGAGCATCCTCGGGGTGAGCGCAGGCAGCACCGGGGCCCGGTGCCACCATCCCCCCGCCACCGAATCCCACCGGGCCCGTGCCCGGGCATTCCGGGGGTGCCTCTAGACAGCACCTTCCCCGGACCCCCGCCTCCCCTTCCCCCCTCCCCACCCATCCCGTCCCCCTCCCCTCATTCTCATCCGCTCCCCCTCCCTCCCCTCCCCGTTACCATGACGACCATCCCCCTCCTCCCCTCGCCCCCCCCGTGGTTGCCATGGCGAACGCGCGCGGCGCGGGGTGGGCGTGTCCCGGAGGGGAGGGGCGTGTCGGCGATTGGCCGGGGGCGGCCCCACGTGACGCGGGCATGCAAATGAGGCGCGGCCTCGCGCCGCCGCCGCCGCCTGAGGGAGGAGGGACGGGCCGAGGGAAGGGAGGAGGAGGGACAGGAGGGAGCGGGCCCGGCCCGGCCCCGCCGGGACCCCCCGCCCGCCACGGCACCCCCCGACCCCGCAACGGGACCCTCCTCCGGGCCATGGCACCGCCGCCTCGCCCGGCCCGGCCCGCAGGTACCCGCGCTGTGCCGCCGCCGCCGCCGCCGGGCCCCGCCGGGCTTTGTCTGGGCCGGGGGGGGGCTCTGAGGGAGGGGAGGGGTGGGGGGCGAAAGGGGGGGACGCGCATGCGCACGCGCCGTGCCTCAGTTTACCCGCCTGGGCCGCGCCGCTCCGCGACCCCCAGAAAGACCCCACAGGGACCCCAGAGAGCCCCCAGAAAGACCCCTTAGAGATCCCATAGGGGCCCCAGAAAGACCCCTTAGAGACCCCATAGGGACCCCTTAGAGCCCCCAGAAAGACCCCATAGGGACCCCAGAGAGCCCCCACAAAGATCCCTTAGAGATCCCATAGGGACCCCAGAGAGCCCCCAAAAAGACCCCACAGAGCCGCCGTGCACCCCCAGCCCTGTCTGCCCTCCTCCCCAGCCTCCTGCACTCCCTCCTCTGCTTCTGCACACCCTTATTATTATTGTTATTATTGCCCACCCCCCACCATCTTGTTCCAGTGCCCCCGTATTATCTCAGACCCCCTGTACTGTGTCTGACCTCCCCCCCACTATTGTATCTCACCCCCCGTCTTCTATCCCACCATCATTAGTGTTTCCCCCCCAGTTCCCACCATCTTGCACCCCCTTCTCTGCTTCTGCACCCCCTTATTATTATTATTACCCACCCCCACCATCATATTCCAGTGCCTGCTGTTATCTCTGGCCCCTTCTCTCCTGTCTGACCCCCCATTTCCCACCTACACCCACCTATGTCTCCACCCCTTCCTCATCCTCCTGCACCCCCTCCTCTGCTTCTGCACCCCCTGATTATGATTATTATTATTATTGCCCACCCCTTGTATTCCAGTTCTTACTATTATATCAGACCCCCCTTATTTTATATCCCACCCTCCACTGGTGTTTTCCGCCCCCCACAATCATGTCCCACCCCTCACCAGCATCTTGCATCCCCCCTTTTATTTTACACCCCTTTATTATTATTTCCCACCCCCCACCATAACATTCCAGTGCCTGCTCTTATCTCTGGCCCTCCCATATTATCTCTGACCCCCCATATTATCCCTGCCCCCCTTTCCTCTCTCCCACCCCCACTAGTGTTTTCCAGCCCCTATCTTACCCCACCCCATCCTGCACCCCCTTTCTGATTTCACACCCCCTTATTATTCCCACTCCCCATTATTTTCCAATGCCTACTCTTTTATCTGACCCCCCCTTTATTATCCCTGACCCCTCTCTCTTGTATCCCACTCCCCACCAGTATCTTGCACCCCCCTTTTAATTTGCTCCCTGTCCTGTCTGACCCCCCTCTCTCCTCTCTGACCCCTCATTTCCCACCCACCCCCAGTCCATCCCACCCCCACCCATGTCTCCTCCCTCCCCATCCTCCTGCACCCCCTCCTCTGCTTCTGCACCCCCTGATTATTATTATTATTATTATTATTATTATTATTATTATTATTATTATTATTATTGCCCACCCCCCCATCATATTCCAGTGCCACCATATGATCTCTGACCCCCCACTATTGTACCTGACCCCACTCTCTTCTTTCCCATCCCCCACCAGTGTTTTCCTCCCCTCCCCACCATCTTGCACCCCCTCCTCTGGTTTCACACCCCCTTATCATTATTTCCCACCCCCCACCATCACATTCCAGTGCCTGCTCTTATCTCTGACCCCCCCATATTACCTCTGACCCCCCCATATTACCTCTGACCCCCCTTCTCTCCCACTCCCCCACCAGATCCCAGCCCTCACCTACATCTTGCACCCCCCTATTATTCCCCCTCTCTATCCCATATTCCTCCCCCATCCCATATTCCCCCCTCTATCCTGTGTGCACCCCCATTCCACACCCCCCCATGATTCCCCCACCCCCACATTGTTCTGCCCCCCCATTTTGGGCTCAGATCAGGAATTCCAGCTCTGTGGTTCCTCCCTGTTCCAGCTGGGGGACCCCCCCATGTCCCCCCCTCCTGCTGTGTCCCGCTGGTTCCTGAAGATTTTGGGATCTTCCCTGTTTGTTGTTTTGGATGGGTTTCATGGTTTTTTGGGGGAGTGGAGCAGGTTTCCTCTGTCACCCGTGGGTCAAAAGTGAGCTGCCCCCTCTGACACCCCAAATTCCCAGGGGGTTTGGTGTGGGTGAGGGTGGGGGGTTCCAACCACAGAGGGTGGGAGCTGCCAGGGGCTTCCTGGGCTGTGCCCATCCCGGGGGGATTGGCTCTGGATGGGCCTGGCATGGTCCCTCTGTGTTGGGCAGTGTGGTGACCCCGTGTCACCCCAGTGCCACCAGTGGGGACAAAAGGGGTCCGTGGCTGCCCAGCAGGGAAGGGGCTGCCCAAAATCTCTCCAGCTCGTGGTGGGCACGTGCCAGGACACAGAGGAGAGGGTGGGAAGTGTCACGGGCCACACCCAGGGCTGGGGACACCAATGGATGTCCCACCTGTGCTTTGGGAGTGGCACCCCCGGGGGACACGGCCCCATAGGCCACCGAGGCCGGGACGTCACCACTGCCACATCCTTGGGTGCCACGCTGGGGCTGGGGGTGGCTAGGGTAGCCTGGCCACCCCCTGTGGCCACCAAGGCCACCCCCCATGGTGTGCAGTGCCCCACCCCACTGTCCCTGGTCCTGCTGTGGTGACACGTGTGACAGTGGCACTGCAGGGGCTCGGCAGGGACGGCTGACGTGGTGGGAGCACAGTGGCCGTGTGTGGCTGTTGGTGACCACGGAGCCTTGTGCTGGCAGCAATGGGGGTGCTGCCCACAAACCCCCCTGCGCTCCCCCAGCACTGTCCCTTTGTCCCTGTCCTCCTCCTGTCCTTCTGTCCCACTGTCTATCCCCTTCCTGCCATCCATTCATCCCTCTTCTTCCTCCCTTTCTGCCCTTCCTCCCATCTTCCCTTCCCCTCTGTCTGTCCTTCCTTGTGTCCCTGCATCCTCCTTGGCCTTTCTTCCATCCCTCTCTCCCTCCTTTGTGTCTTTCCATCTGGCCATACTTCCTCCTGTCTGTCTGTCCTTCCCTCCATCCCTTGGTCCCTCCCTTCCTTCCCTCCTTCTGTCCAGCCCTCCCTTCTGTCCTTGGTTCCTTTCCTCATTCTGTCTGTCTTTCTGTCCGTGCATCCATTGTTCCTTCCTTCCATCCTTAGATCCATTGATCCATCCATCATTCCTTCCATCCTTCCTTCTGCCCTTCCCTTTCCTCCTTCCTTACTTCCATCAATCCTTCCTCCCCCCTCCCATCCCTTTCCCCTTTCTGTCCATCCATCCATCCATCTTCTGTCCATCCCTCTCCTCCCCTGGTCTGTCATTCTGTCTCTCCTTCCATCCTTCCCTTCATTGCTTTCCTACTTTCACCTGTCCTTCTGTCTGTCCTCTCCTACTTCCATCTCTCCCTTGGTCCCTTTCTTTCCATCTCTTCCCTGCTTCCTTCTGTCCGTCTGTTCTTTGACCCTTTCCTACTTCCCTCCTTCCCCCATTTCTCTCTCTCCTTCCCTCCTTCTTCATTTCCTTTTGTCTGTCCATCCCTTCATCCCACTCCTCCTCCAGACCGTCCTTCTGTCCATCTCTACCTCCTCAGCTCCATCTCTCTTCCCTCTGTCCTGTCCATCCCTCCTTCTGTCCATCCTCCCATTCCCTATCTTCCAGGGGGTTTTCCCAGGAGGATGAACCATGGGGGGCCTCCTGCTGTTCTTCCTCCATCCCACCCTCCTCCTCCTCCTCAGTCCTGGCCCCCTGGCCCTCGCCTGGCCACGGGCTTTTGCGGGGTGCCCCTCTCACCCCGGCAGCCCAGCCCCAGGGTGCTGCAGGGTGCCCCTCTCCCCCCTCTCCCCCCCAGCTCTAGCCTGACCCGCGCTCCCCCGCCCCGCTCCCGCCATGGAGAACGAGCAGCTCCCGGCGCCGGCCCCTGCCAGCAGCTCCGGGGGCAGCGCCCCGGCCGCCGCCAGCACCGCGGCCGCGCGCCCGCCCGGGCCCCAGATCTCCGTGTACAGCGGCATCCCCGACCGCCAGACCGTGCAGGTACGGCCGGGGGGGGCCCGCGGGGGGCCGGGAGGGTTCCGGGTGGGTCGTGGCGCTGCCCAGGGCCACGTTTGCCCCCCGCCACAGGTGATCCAGCAGGCGCTGCACCGGCAGCCCAACACGGCGGCGCAGTACCTGCAGCAGATGTACGCGGCGCAGCAGCAGCACCTCATGCTGCAGACGGCTGCCCTGCAGCAGCAGCACCTCACCAGCGCCCAGCTCCAGAGCCTGGCCGCCGTCCAGCAGGTAGGGCCGCCCCGGGGCACCCCTGGGTGCTCAGGGTTGGCACACTCCCTCACCGTTCCGCTTCTCCCCAAGGCGAGCTTGGCGGCGAACCGGCAGAGCGGCTCCTCGGCGGGCAACGGCGCCCAGCCCGCCCCGGCGCAGCAGCCCACGGTCAGTCCCCCGGCCCCTGGGCACCTGGCACGGCGGCACCCACCTGTGCCAGCACCCTGACCTTGTCCTGACGCCCCATTCCAGATCAACCTGGCGACGTCGCCGGCGGCGGCACAGCTGCTGAACCGGGCGCAGAGCGTGGGCCCCGGCGCCTCGGGCATCGCGCAGCAGGCGGTGCTGCTGGGCAACGCCGCCTCGCCCGCCCTCACCGCCAGCCAGGCACAGATGTACCTGCGGGCACAGATGGTAAGGGGCACCCTGCGGCACCGGGGGGTGGATGGGACGTGGAGGGCATCGTGGTGAGGGGCAGCCAGACCCACGGGGGCCTGGCATCCTGCTGTCGCATGGTCAAGACCCATGGGGGGCCCACCGGCCCACTGTGGGGTGCCCAGAACCCATAGGGTCCCCATGGTCCTTCAGCAGGGTGGCTGGGACCTCTAGGGTGCCTGTCATCCTGCTATAGGTGCCCAGGAGTTGTGGGGTGCCCATCATCCTGTTGTGCAGTGCCCAGGACTCATGCGAGGCCCATCATCTCACAGTGGGATGGCTGGGACCCATCAGGTGCCCATCATCCCATTGTAGAGTGTCCAGACCCATTAGGTGCCCATTGCCTCATTGTGGGGTGCCCAGGACCCATAGGGTCCCCATCATCCTGCTGTGGCTGCCCAGGATTTGTGGGGTGCCCATCATCCTGCTGTGGCTGCCCAGGACCCATGGAGTGCCTGTTGTCCCACTGTGGGGTGCCCAGGACCCATAGGGTGCCCACGGTCCTGCAGCAAGGTGGCCAGGACCCATAGGGTGCCCATCATGTCACTGTAGGGTATCTGTCATCCCACTGTGGGGTGCCCAGGACCTGTGGAGTGCCCATCATCCTACTGTGGGGTGGCTGGGACCCACCAGGTGCTCATCATTCTGCTGTGGGGTGCTCAGGACTCATGGGGTGCCCACTGTCTCACTGTGGGGTGGCCGGGACTCGTAGGGTGCCCGTGGTCCTGCTGTGGGGTGCCTGGGACCCTATAATGGGTCCTGACCCTGTAGGGTGCTCATTGCTATGCATGGGTGCTCAGATCCCAGAGGGTGCCCGTCACCCCAGTGAAGGTTGCTGAACCCCACAGAGTGCCCAGACCCCAGAGGATGGGTCTCAGCTTGTGGGGAGCCCATAGGGTGCCCATCAGAGCAGTGCGGGGTGCTCAGAGCCCACGGGGTGCTCCCCACCCCTGCTGTGGGGTCTGTAGACTTCGTGGGGTGCCTTCACCCTGCTGAGTGGACCCGACCCCCATATAGGGTCCCCCCCACCCCACTGGGGGTGCGCAGATCCCACAGGGCACCCACAGCCCCATCGGGGGGTGCCTAAGTGGGTGCTCTTTGCTTTTGTAGGGGGTGTCTGGACCCTATAGGGTGCTCCCCATTCCTCTGGGGGTGCCCAGACCCTCTAGGGGTCCCCCTACACAATTAGTGGGACACACATGTGCCACCCCATAGGGACACACAGGAGGGTCACACATGGGGTGCCACCCTGTAGGGACACAAGGGGGGTCACACAAGGGGTGCCACCCCATAAGAACACAGAGGAGTGTCACACAAGGGGTTCTATCCTGTAGGGACACGTAGGGAGGTCACACATGGGTTGCCACCCTGTAGGGACATGGAGAGGGGTCACACGGGGGGTGCCACCCCACGGGGACACAAGGGGGGGTCACACAAGGGGTGCCACCCCACGGGGACACAAGGGGGGGTCACACAAGGGGTGCCACCCCACAGGGACACAAGGGGGGTCACACAAGGGGTGCCACCCTGTAGGGATGTTGGGGGGGTCACACAAGGGGTGCCACCCTGTAGGGACACAAGGGAGGTCACACAAGGGGTGCCACCCTGTAGGGACACAAGAGGGATCACACAGGGGGTCCGGCCCGAGAGCCCCGCGCCGGCCCCTCCTGCGGCCCCAGCGCCCGCCCCGCCCCCCGCCACCCCCCAGGTGAGCCCCCCGACCCCCCCGGCCCTGCCCCAGCCCCGGCCCTGCCCCGCGCCCTGACCCGCTGCCGTTGCAGGTGCACAGCCTGGCCCTGCGCCCCGCCGGCCCCCACCTCCCCGCCCTGGCCATGAAGCCCCCCGGGGGTGCCCCCCCCCGGGCCGGCCCCCCCCGGGGCCCCCCGCCCGACCCCCCTGCTGAGCACCTCAAAAAGGCCGAGGGGCCCGAGGCCCGCGCCCACCCCCTGGCCCGCGCTGCCCCCGCCACCGCCCACCCGCTCGTCACCACAGGTAAGGGGTGTGCCAGGGGAGGGGGCACCCCTGAGGGCTGGGGGGGCACGAGGGGGTCGCTCTGAAATTAATGATGGTTCTCTTGCCTGTTTGTGGGGGCAGCACCCCCGGGTACCCATTTGGGGACACATCATCCGTGCTTTGGGTGCTCGGACACCAGGGCAGGGTGAACCCAGGGATTGTCGCCCTGCCTGGATCTGGGACCTTGTGGGTCCTTCCCACCTCGGCAGGGGCCCTGCCTGGGGGGGTCTCAGCACCCATAGGGTGCCAGAGTCCTGTGGGGTAAGCCCCTGCAATGGGGTGGGTCTCAGCACCCATAGGATCATGGGGTTCCATGGGGTGAGTCCCTGCAGTGAGGTCCAGGGGGGCTGGGTCTCAGCACTCCTGGGGTCCTGGGGTCCTGTGGTGTGAGCCCCTGCAGTGGGGTGTGGGGGTGGGTCACAGCACCCATAGGATCATGGGGTCCTGTGGGGTGTGGGGGATCTGGGTCTCAGCAGCCATAGGATCCTGGGGTTCCATGGGGTGAATCCTTGCAGTGGGGTCCAGGGGGGCTGAGTCTCAGCACCCATAGGATCCTGGGGTCCTGTGGGGTGGGAGAATGTGGGATTCAGCACCCATAGGATCATGGGGTCCTGTGGGGTGCAAGGTCTCAGCACCTATAGGATCTCGGGGTTCCATGGAGTGAACCCATGCAGTGGGGTCCAGGGGCTGGGTCTCAGCACCCATAGGATCCTGGGGTCCTGTGGGATGTGGGGGGCTGGGTCTCAGCACCCATAGGATCCTGGGGTCCGTGGGGTGAGTCCCTGCAGTGGGGTCCAGGGGACTGGGTCTCAGCACCTATAGGATCCTGGGGTCCTGTGGGGTGCAGGGGCTGGGTCTCAGCACCCATGGGATCTGGAGTCCTGTGGGGTGCAGGGGCTGGGTCTCAGCACCCACAGGATCCCAGGGTGAGCCCCTGCAGAGGGGTGCGGGGGGCTGGGGCAGTGAGGGTGTGGGCCATGGGGTGCTGGAGCCGGGGGGTGCTGTACTGGCGGGGCTCCCAAAATGTGGGCCCCCCACCCCAGGACAGCCAGAGCCCCCCATCCTGCAGCAGCGGGGTGTCCGTGGGCACCAGAGCGAGCAGCACCTTGGGGGGAGGATCCGGGGGGGGGTCCCTTGGGGCTGAGGTGGCAGTGACAAAGGGGGGGTCCCTGTCCCCCCTGCTGTCCCCGCAGCCTACGCCCCGCTGCAGCCCCCCCAGTTCCTGCAGCAGCCCCCGAAGCCGGTGCAGCCCCAGCAGCAGCAGCAGCAGTTCGTGATCCAGCAGCAGCAGCAGCCGCTGGGCCCCCGCGGGCAGCCCCCCCCGGCCCCCCCCGGTGCCCCCCAGCTGCAGCCCCTGCCCCCTGCCAGCCCCGGCCCCGCCCCCCAGCCCAAGGCGGGGGTCCTGCAGGGAGCGGGGGGCGAGGGGGGCCCCCCCAACGGGCACCCCGGCAGCTGCCACGCCGCCCCCCCCCGCAAGTTCCAGCACGCCTCGGCCGTCATCCTGCAGCTGCAGCCCGCCGGGCCCACGGTGAGGGACCCCCAGAGCCACCCTGCACCAAACCCCCTGGGGAGACACCCCAGAACAACCCCGAAACCAAACCCCCAGGGCAGGGACCCCCAGGGCAGGGACCCCCAGAGCCACCCTGCACCAAACCCCCAGGGGAGGGGGCCCCAAACCAAAACCACTCAAACCCCCATGGTGAGGGGCCCTCAAACCAAACCCCCCACCCCAAACCAAACCCCCATGGGGAGGAGCCCCCCAAACCAAACTCCCATGGGGAGGAGCCCCCCAAACCAAACTCCCATGGTGAGGGATCCCCAAACCTCCCAAACCCCTGTGGTGAGGGACCCCCAAGTCTCCCACCAAACCTCCCCTCAACTTCCTGCACTGAGAGGTCCCCAAACCCTCCCCCCCAGATCCCCACAGTGAGGGGCCCCCAAACCCCCTCCCCCAAACCCCTGCAGTGAGGGGCCCCCCCAAACTCCCTGGGAGGGGAGGAGGGCTGGGGGCACTGGGGCGGGAATGGGGGGGGTTGGGGGGCAGGTATGTGCACACATGTGTGGGTGTGCAGGGGTGTGACTGTGTGTGTGTGTGTGTGTGTGTGTGCACGTGTGTACCTGACCTGGGCACAGGGGGGTGTTGGGCTCCAGCCCTGTACATATGTGATCCACACATGTGTGTGCAGGTGTGCACGTGTGTACCTGAGCTGTGCAGGTGTGCACCTGCTCCACACACATGTATGTGCACAGGTTGACCTCATTCACCACCTGATCTGTGCACAGGTGTGTGGATGGGCCCCAGTCCTGCACACGTGTGATCCACACGTGTGTGCAGGTGTGCACGTGTGTACCTGAGCTGGGCACAGGGGGGTGGGGTGGGCCCCAACCCTGCACATGTATGATCCACACGTGTGTACAGGTGTGCACGTGTGTACCTGAGCTGTGCATGTGTGTACCTGCTCCATGCACACGTGTGTGCACAGCTTGGCCTCATTCATCACATGTGTGTGCATGTGAACTGTGCACGTGTGCATGTGCTTGATCCTCATGTCTGACGTGTGTGTGCACCCCCCTGCCACCTCATACGCATGTGTGTGCACACATGTGTGTACCCATGTGCCAGATCCGTGTGTGTGTGCCTGGTCCATGCACACATGCGTGCAGACAGGTTTGCCTGACGTGTGTTCGTGTGTCTGCTCCATGAGTGTGCACACCTGTGTCACACCCACACGAGTGCACTGTCTGTATGCACATGCGTGTGCCAGACTCTGTGTGTGTGTTGTGGACATGTGTGCCTGATGACACACGTGTGTGCATGTGCTTGGCCAACCCAGGCACACGTGTGCACCCTCCAGCCATGCATGTGCATGCCCCCGTGCCACCCACACCCCACCCTGCTCATACCTGTGCACACCTGCATGCCCCCGTGCCACCCACACCCCACCCTGCTCATACCTGTGCACACCTGATCCACACACCCCCTGCTCTACACACACACCCCTGATCACCACCCTCTGATACACACCACCCTGATCCACACACCCCCCCCTGCACTCTCCATCATCACCCTCCCCCTGATCCACACACCCTGTATCCATCCACACACTACCCCTTGACCACCCACCCTCTGCTCTCACCCCCCTCTTATCCCACACACCCCCCCCGTATCAATCACACACCTCCACTGATCCACACATCCCCTGACACCCAACCACCATCCCCCTGATCCTACACGCCCCCTGATCCCCACACACCCCTGATCTCCACACACCCCCCTGATCCAGGACTTACAACCCCACCGCTCCGACAACACACCCCGGATCCACACAAACCCTCCTCTGTGATTCAACCACACCCCCCCTATCCACACACCCCCCGATCACCACACCCCTGCTCAACACACCCCTGATCCAACCCCCCCCTGATCTACACACCCACCCCTGATCCACACCCCCCTGATCCACACACCCCTGATCCACACACACCCCCCCGATCCACACACACCCCCCTGATCCACACACACCCCCGATCCACACACCCCTGATCCACACACCCCTGATCCACACACCCCTGATCCACACACACCCCCCTGATCCACACACACCCCCGATCCACACACCCCTGATCCACACACCCCTGATCCACACACACCCCCCTGATCCACACACACCCCCTGCTGCCACACACCCCTGATCACACACCCACCCCTGATCCACACACCCCCCTGATCCACACACACCCCCCTGATCCACACACCCCTGATCCACACACACCCCTGATCCACACACCCCCCGATCCACACCCCCCCATCATCCACACACACACACCCCAATCCACACACCGCTGTGCACCCCCGACCCTGCACACACACTTGTGCACACCTGACCCTGTGCCCACCCCTGTGCACACCTGACCCTGTGCCCACCCCTGTGCACACCTGTCCCCCCGCCCACCCCTGACCGTGCCCGCCGTGTCCCCGCCGCCGCAGACCCCTCTCGGCGTCCCCGAGGGCGCCCGCCGGGACCCTCTGCCCGCGCCGAGGAGCGCCGAGAGCCCGCCCGCCGCGCCGCCGCCCCCCGCCCTGTCCCCGCCCGCCGCGCCCGCGGGCCCCGCCACCCCCGACGGCGAGCGGCCCCCTGCCCACGGTAAGCCCCCACGCCCGCGGGTCCCTGAGCCCCCCGCGTGTCCGCGGGGTCACCCGCGGGTGACACTTGGGTGGGGGCGGGTTCAACGCAGCGGCCGCCAGGGGGCGCCCAGCGTCACACGCGGAGGTGGCTCGAGAGGAGGGGGCGTGGTCACTGCGGTGCCACGCCCCTTTCTATACAATATACCGGGGGGCGTGGCCCCTCCGACAGCGCGGGCTGCGGGGAGCGGGCGCGGTCATAGGTCGGGGCTCCGCCCCCCGGGAGTAGTGGCCGCGCCCCTCCGGGAGTACGGGCTGCTGGAAGGGGGCGTGGTCATAAAGCTAGGCCCCGCCCTATGTAGGCTATGGCCACGCCCTTCAGCGCGAGACTCCGCCCCCCCGCGGGGGGGCGGGAGAGTGGGCGAGCTGTGGAGGAGGGGGCGAGGCCACCCCCGAGGCTCCGCCCCCGGGGCACGCGCGGCGGCGTTGTCCAATGTGCGCTGGGTGAGGGGGCGTGTCCCGCTTTGGCCCCGCCCCCTGTGCCACCGCCTTTGTCCCCGCTCGGCCCCGGCCCCGCTCCCGGAGCCGCTCCCGGGGCCGCTCCCGCCGCAACCCCCGGCCCGGGCCCCCCCGCCATGGCCCCCCCGAGCCGCTGAGCGCACGGTGAGTGAGGGCCGAGCGGGGCGGGCCCGGCCCGGGGCGGTGGCCAAGGCTCTGACCTCACTTCCGCATCCGCCCCCGGCCCGGCCCGGCCCCGCGGCCCCGGCGAGGGAGGGGCGGCGGAGCGGGAGCCGCCGCCGGACAAAGGTGATGGGGCCGCCGGGGCCGAGCGGGGCCCGCCGGGCCGGGGCGGCCGCGAGGGGACACGGGGAGGGTCGGCCGGGCCGGGCCGGGCCGGGGCCTGGCGGGGGGTGCTGGGATCGTACCGGGGAACGTCGGGCCTTGCCGCGGCGTTATTGGGGTTATCGGGATGGACCGGGGCCTTGCCGGGGCAGTTCGGGGCTTTGCGGGGGGAGATCGCGGCTTCCCGGGGTTTGCTCGAGCCTCGCTGGAGCCCCGCTGGGGCCTTCCTGGGGTAGATCGGGGTGTTACTGGGGGAGATTGGAGTTTTACTGGGGGGGATCGGGGATTTACTGGGGGAGATTGGGGTGTTACTGGAGGAGATCGAGTCTGGCTGGGGCCTCACCGGGGCAGACCCGGTGCCTCCCTGAGCCTTTCCCGGCCCTTCCTGGGGTGTCCGCGCTATTCCGGGGTTCCCTTTCCCCCTCTCCCCCCTGCCGGGGTCCCTGGGAGCGGCGCAGCTGCCGCCCGTGCCAGCTGTATGGAAATCACGGCCCCGCGTCACCGTCACCTGACCCCGCTCCTTGTGTCTCTGTCCCCCCCGGGGGTCCCCAGAGCCCCCCGAGCGCCTCCATGCGCAGCCCCGCATTCCCGGGATGACCTCGGGCTCCGGCAGCGCTGCCGCCACTGTCGCCGGCGCCGCCCCCCACAATGGTGAGAACAAACCGCCCCAGGCCATCGTGAAACCCCAGATTCTCACCCACGTCATCGAGGGCTTCGTCATCCAGGAGGGCGCCGAGCCCTTCCCGGTAACGTATCCCGGGGGTTGCGGGGGTGGGAAGGGAGATCCCGGGGGGGGAGGGGGGGCCGGGAATGGCTTGAACCCCCAAATCCTCCCCTGTGTTACCGAGGGGTTTGTCATCCAGGAAGGTGCTGAACCATTCCCATTGAGGCATCCCCCTGTCCCCCTTCTGTTCTGGGGTTTGGGGTGCTGGGAAGGGGCTCCTGGATTTAGGGGGTTGGGAATGGAGCACCCAAATCATCTTGAACCCCCAAATCCTCACCCGTGTCATCAAGGCCTTCGTCATCCAGGAGGGCACCGAGCCCTTCCCGGTAACGTATCCCGGGGGTTGCAGGGGTGGGAAAGGGGATCCTGGGGTGGGGGAGTCAGGAATGGGGCACCCGGAGCAGCTTGAACCCCCAAGTCCTGCTATGTGTTATCGAGGGGTTCCTCATCCAGGAGAGGGCTGAGCTGTTCCCAGTTGTGTATCCCGCTGTCCCTACTTGGATTCTGGGGCTCGGGGTGTTGGGGAGGAGCTCCTGGACTGGGGAGTTGGGATTGGGGCGCCCAAAGCATCTTGAACCCCCAAATCCTCCCCTGTGTTATTGGGGGATTTGTCATCCAGGAAAAGGCTGAGCTGTTCCCAGGAATGTGTGCCCCTTTCCAGATCTGTGTACCAGGGATTGTGGGGCTGGAAATGAGCTCCTGGACTGGGGGAGTTGGGAATGGGGCACCCAAACCATCTTGACCCCCCAGATCGTCACCCACATCATTGAGGGCTTCATCACTTAGGAAAAGGCTGAGCTGTTCCCAGGAATGTGTCCCACAGTCCATACTCTTATGCCTTGATTTGGGGGGGTTTGGGAAGGGGCTCCTGGCTTGGGTGGTTGGGAACGGGGCACCCAAAAGGGCTTCTGGATCTGGGGGTCTGGAGGGGTAACCCCAAATCCTCCCCCGTGTTATTGAGGGGTTCATCACCCAGGAAGGAGCTGAGGCATTTGAGGTAACGTATCCCTGTATCCATACCCTTATTCCTGCATTTGGGGGTGTTGGGAATGAGGCATAAAGGAAGGGGCAGAAGCATTCCAGGTAATGTATCCCATTTCCATGTCCTTCCTCCTGGATTTGAGGGGTTGGCTGCCCCATTCCCAGACAATTGGGAACCTCCAAATCCTCGCCCACGTTATTGAGGTCTTCATTGTCCAGGAAAGGGATGAGCTGTTCCCAGTAGCGTATCCCCCTTTACCTGTCCTTGTCCCTGGATTTGGGGAATTGGGAAGCGGGCTCCTGGATTTGGGGGGTTGGGAATAGGGCATCCAGACAGTTGTGAGCCCCCAAATCCTCGCCCACCTTATTGAGCCATCCCTGGTACTGCATCCCCTGCTCTCATCCCTTTTCCTCGTTCTTGGATTCAGGGAATTGGAAGGTTTCTCCTGTGTCTGTGGCTGCAGGAGGGGGAGTCTCCCAACTTCAGGGAGTTGGGAATGGGGCACCCAGACAGTTGTGACCCCCAAATCCTCACCCACCTTATCGAGCTCTTTGTCACCCAGGAAGGGGCTGAGCCGTTCCCGGTACTGCATCCCTTGTCATTCCTGGTTTCCTACATTAGGGAGGTCAGGCAGGTTCTTCCCAGCTCTGCGGGTGCTGGGGGGGGGTGGAAATGAAAATGAAAACCCACACCCCCATTATCATCCCCCGGGAGGGGGCTGAGCCCCCCCCAGTCCCACAACCCTCATCCTCCTCCCTGCATTTGGGAAGTGGGGCGGTTCCTCCCGGCTCCGTGGCCGCAGGGGGGGCTGTCCCCGGGGCGGGGGTGCAGGGGCAGCCCCCCCAAGGTGCCATGCCGTGGCAGGTGGGGCGCTCGTCGCTGCTGGTGGGGGCCCTGCACAAACAGTATGCGCAGGAGCTGCTCCCGGACAAGCTCCCGCCGCAGGACAACACCACCACCACCGACTCGGACATGGAGGAGCCCTACCTGCAAGGTAGCGCCCAAATCCCCCCCGAACGCCCCCAGAACCCCCTCCCCGGGGAGCAGGGGGGCTGAGCTGGCTGGTTTCTCTCTCTGGGTGTCCCCCCACGCCCCCCAGAGTCCAAAGAGGAGGGGAACCCCCCGAAGCTGAAGTGTGAGCTCTGCGGCCGCGTCGACTTCGCCTACAAGTTCAAGCGCTCCAAGCGCTTCTGCTCCATGGCCTGTGCCAAGAGGTAACCCCGAGCCAGACACCCCCCTGGGGGAACCCCAAAACACGCCTGGGGGCTGGGGGAACCCCAGAGCCCAGCTGGGGGGTGGAGGGACTCCCTAAAATCCAATTGAAGGAGTGGGGAAACCCTAAAATCCATTGGGGGGGACGTAACCCAAAAACCCCCCTGGTGGAGTGGGGGTAACCCCAAAACACATCTGGGGGCGTAACCCTAAAATCCATCTGGAGGGGTGGGGGAACCCTAAAATCCATCGAGGGGGGTGGGGGGGACCCTAAAATCCATCTGGCCCCTTTCTTCCCAGCAGGAGGGGGGTAACCCCAAAATCCATCTGGGGGGTGGGGGTAACCCTAAAATCCATCCGGGGGGACGTAACCCAAAAACCCCCCTGGTGGAGTGGGAGTAACCCCAAAAACACATCTGGGGGCATAACCCTAAAATCCACCTGGAGGGGTGAGGTAACCCTAAAGTCTGCCCAACAGCCCCCTGGGGAGGGGGGGGTAACCCCAAAACCCGTCCTGGGGGGTAACCCTAAAATCCATCTGGAGGGGTGGGGGGAACCCTAAAATCCATCTGGAGGGGTGGGGGAACCGTAACGTCCACCTGGGGGGTGGGGGGACCCTAAAATCCATCTGGCCCCTTTCTTCCCAGCAGGAGGGGGGTAACCCCAAAATCCACCTGGGGGGTGGGGGTAACCCTAAAATCTACCTGGGGGTGTGGAGGTAACCCCAAAACACTCCTGAGGGGTGGGGGGAACCCCTACCATCTATTAGGGGGGTGGGAGGAACCCCAAAACCCACCAATATCCCCTTGGTAGGGTGGGGGGGACCCTAAAATCCACCTGGAGGGGTGGGGATAACCCCAAAACACACCTGGGGGGTGTAACCCCAAAACATACCTAGTGGAGTGGGGGGAACCCTAAAATCCATCTGTGGGGGCTGGGGTAACCCCAAAACCCACCAACATCCCCATGGTAGGGTGGAGGTAACCCTAAAATCCACCTGGCCCCCCTTCCCAGCAGGATGGGAGTAACCCCAAAATCCATTTGGGGGTGGGGGTAACCCCAAAACCCACCCAGCCCCCCCCCCTCCCAGCAGGGTAGAGGTAACCCCAAAATCCACCTGCTCCTCCCACACCCTCAGTGGAGCAGAGGGAACCCCAAAAATCCATCCAGTGGGATAGAGGGAAACCCAGAACCCACCTGACCTCCCCCCCATCGAGGTAGAGAGAACACCAAAACCCACCTGATGGGGTTGCCATAATCCCCAAAGTCACTCAGCGGGGTAGAGATAACCCCAAAATCCATTTGGCAGGGTGGGGGTAACCCCAAAATCCACCCACCCTTCCTACACTCTTACTGGAGTAGAGGGAACCCCAAAAATACATCCAGCAGGATAGAGGGAACCCCAAAAACCCACCTGGCAGGATGGGGGTAACCCCAAAACCCACCTGGCAGGGTAGAGGTAACCCTAAAACCCACCTGGCAGGGTGGGGGTAACCCCAAAATCCCCAGGGCCCCTTCTCAGTGGGGTAGAGATACCTCCAAAATCCCCCCGTATCCCCCTCAGTGGGGTAGAGAGAACCCCAAAACCCATCTGGCAGGGTGGAGGTAACCCTGAACCCCCCCCAGTGGAGTGGGGGTGACCCCCCAAACCCCCCTTCCCGCGGGGTGACCCCCCCGAGCCGCCCCCCCCCGCAGGTACAACGTGGGCTGCACCAAGAGGGTGGGTTTGTTCCACCCCGACCGCACCAAACTGCAGAAACCGGGGGGGCCCCCCCACGGGCGGCGCCGCAGCTGCAAAGGGACCCTCCCCCCCCTGGGCAAGGACAGCAAGAAACAGGTGAGGGGGCACGGGGGGCACCGAGGCAGGGGGGGTCACTGAATTCTGAGGACATGGGCTGAGTGCTGGGCTGGGGGTTGCCCCTGAATTCCGGGGCTGAGGTGGCACCGAGGTTGGGGTTTGTACCCAGCTGGGGGGCACGGGGTGGGCACCCGGGGCAGGTTTGTCCCCACATTGCAGACAAGGGTGGGTGCTGAGCCCGGGGTTTGTCCCTGGATTTTGGGGACGTGGGGTGGGCACCAAGGCCACGGTTTGTCCCTGGTCTGGGGTTTGCCCCCACATTTGGGACAAGGGTGGGATCTGAGGCCAGGGTTTGTCCCCAGCTTGGGAAGCACAAGGTGGGTGTTGGGGTGGGTTTGTCCCTGAATTCTGGGGACACAGGGTGGGCACCGAGGCTGGGGTTTGTCCCTGGATTTTGGGGACATGCTGTGGGCGCTGAGGCTGCAACTGGGGGGCACAGAGTGGGAGCTAAGGCTGGGATTTGTCCCTGAATTTTGGGGACACCGAGTGGGCACCAAGCCTGGGGTTGTCCCCAGTTGAGGGGGACACGGGGTGGGCCCTGAGGTCAGGGTTTGTCCCCAGATTGTGGATAAGGGTGGGTGCTGAGGCCGGGGTTTGTCCCTGAATTCCAGGGGACACTGAGGCCAGGCTTTGTCCCCATTTTTGGGGCACTGGGCCTGCAGTTTGTCCCTGAATTTCAGGGGACTCTGGGGCTGCAGTTTGTCCCCAAACTGGGGACCAGGAGCGGGATGTGAGGCCAGGGTTTGTCCCTGAATTTTGGGATCACAGGGTGGACACCAAGGCTGGCATTGTCCCCAGCTGGGGGGACATAGGGTGGGTGCTGGGTCCAGGGCTTGTCCCCATTTTTGGGGCACTGGAACCAGGGTTTGTCCCCATTTTTGGGGCACTGGGGTCGGGGTTTGTCCCCGTTTTTTGGGCGCTGGTGCCGGCGCTGCCCCCGCAGCCCCCGCGCCGGGTCCCAGCGACATCGCCGTCGTTGTCGCCGCAGCTCAACCACAGCCAGGAGGATTCGAGCCGCTGCTCCGACAACTCGAGCTACGAGGAGCCGCTGTCGCCGATCTCCGCCAGCTCCTCCACGTCCCGGCGCCGGCAGGGGGAGCGGGACCTGGAGCTGCGGGACATGGAGCTGCCCGACGTGCACGGCCGGGACCTGCCCGGGCTCGGCCACCGCTTCCTGCCCAGCGAGCCCAGCAAGTGGAACGTGGAGGACGTGTACGAGTTCATCCGCTCCCTGCCCGGTGAGGAACGGGGGGGAACAGCCCGGGAATGGGATGGGATGGGATGGGATGGGGTGGGATGGGATGGGATGGGATGGGGTGGGGTGGGGTGGGGTGGGGTGGGGTCTGCTCAGGGAGAACGTCAGGAGTGGAGATTGGGGGAACTGCTCAGAGAGATCACCAGGAATAATGTGGGTTGGGGGGGAATTGCTCATGGAGAACCCCATAAGTGTTTGGGGGGGGATTAACTCATGGAGAACCCCATAAGTGTATTTTTGGGGGGGAATTACTCATGGATAACTCCATAAAAAATGTATTGGGGGGGATTTACACATGGATAACCCCCTAAATATGTTTTGGGGGGGATGTACACACAGATAACCCCATCCATATTTTGGGGGGGATTTACTCCTCGATAACCCCATATCTGTATTTTTGGGGGGATTTACTCCCTGATAACCCCATATCTGTATTTTGGGGGGACTTACTCCCTGATAGCCCCATATCTGTATTTTTGGGGGGATTTACTGCCTGGTAACCCCACAAATATATTTTTGGAGGGGATTTACACACTGCTAGCCCCATACATACATTTTGGGGGGGATTTACTCAAGAGATAACCCTCTAAACATGTTCCTGAGGGGCAATCACACACTGCCAGCCCCACCCATCCATTTTTTTGGGAGAATCCCTGCCTGCTCCCCCCTCCATCCCTCCCGGGGGGTGCTGAGCTCCCGGCTGACATCCCCTGCCGGCATTCCCGGGCTCTGCAGGCTGCCAGGAGATCGCGGAGGAGTTCCGGGCGCAGGAGATCGACGGGCAGGCGCTGCTGCTGCTCAAGGAGGACCATCTGATGAGCACCATGAACATCAAGCTGGGCCCTGCCCTCAAGATCTACGCCCGCATCAACATGCTCAAGGACTCCTGAGCCGGGGGGGGAACCCCCAAAACACCCCCTCACCCCCCCACGGGACTCCCAAAACACCCCCCCAGCCCCGGGGAGGGGGTGGGGAGGGGGAGACCCTTGTGAGCACAACCCGAGCCCGGGGAGCCCCCGGGTGTGTAAATAGCCCGTAGGTCTTAGAGCCCCCCCCTCACAGTCTGGGGGTCACCCCCTCTTCTCCGGCAGGGAGTGGGGGGGTCCCCATGTCCCCCCTGTGCCCCCCACACCCCCCCCCCAGTCGGCAGGGCCAAGCAGGATGGTTGCCTTAATGTGAGCCCCCCTCCCCCAGCTGGGATTGGGGGTCCCTGGAGGGGGGGTTGGACCCTCCCCCCAAAAGGGGCTTGAGGAGGGGTGGGGTTCACCCCCCCCCCCACGCTGGGCCGGTTTGGGGGCACCTCAGTCCAGGATGGTGGGAAGGGGGGGCCCCCCGGGCAGGTCAGGACCCCCCCACGGCCCCTCCACCCCACGGCCCCCGCGGCCTTTTTAAGAAAAGAAAAGGAAAAAAGAAAAAAAAAAAAAAAAAAAAAAACAAACCGGCCCCTCCCCCCCTCCCGGGCTGGATTTTGGGTTGTTTTTAATAAACACGGAAAAAAACAGAGAAAAATGGATCCCCCCCCTCCCCTTTCCTTCCTCTTCCCCTGGATTCCCTGTGAGGTGGCACCGCAGAGATGGCCCCAAGTGTCACCTCAGGGATGTCCCCAAATGTCACAGTGGGGGGGGCACAGGGCTGGTGCCACATCCCCTGTGCCCCCCAGATGTGGGGGGTGGGGTCCCCCCTCACAGAGCCTGTGGTGACACTGGTGACCCGAAGTCCCAGCACCTGGGGGGGCACAGGGGACCCCAAAGGAGGGGAGGAGGACAGGAGGGGACACCCCTGGAGTGGGATGGCCTGGGGGGGGGACACATCCCTGGAACTGAAGCCCAGGGTGGGGTGTCCCAGGGGTCACCTGGATGTGGCACCTGTGCTCAGGTGTCCCCAGGGGTGAGGGACCCACCATGGTGACATTTCCCCGGGGCTGGTGGCCATGGGGGTGACCCAGAGCTGTGTCCCTGGAGGTGGCACCCACTGTGAGGTGGCACCCACTGTGACATGTCCCTGACACTGGTGGCCATGGCCAGGAGGTGTCCCCAGAGCTCGTGGCCATGGGGAAGTGTCCCCACAGTGGTGGCCACACTGGGCTGTCCCCAGACCTGGTGTCCCCAGAAGTGGGTCACTGGGGTCACTCACACTCCCTCTCCCCAGGACCAGGACCCGCCACCTTCCCTCTGAGGCACTGGTGCCCCCCTGGTGTGCCCACCCCTGGTGTGTGGCACTGCCACCCCTCCCTGGGACACTCTGGGGACACCCCACCCCCTGGGGGTGACCCCCAGCTCCACCCCCCCCTGCTGCCACCCCACGGGGACCCCCCAGGCTTTGTCCCCAAACGTCCCCAAAGTGCTGCCCCCCCAATCTTTCCCCTCCCCCCAAAGACCCCCCCACGTTCATTCATTCCCGTTTTGTTCTTTTTTTTCTTCTCTTTTATTCTCTTTTTTTGGAAAGGGGTTGGGGGGGTTCCCTCCTTTTCCACACCACGAGGCCGTGCCCCCCCCCAGCTTCTCCAGGAACCACAATGCAGGATTTTTGGGGGGGGGAGGGGGGGAGGGGGAGAACGGGGCAGGGGCAACTGTTTTTATCCATTTTCTCCTCTTTTCTTTTTTTTTTAACCTTTTTTTCCTCTTTTTTAATAAGGTACCAACTAGATCTAGGGAGGCCTGGCCTGGCTGGGCAGCAAGGAAAATAAAAAAGCCCCAAAATTTTGGGGTTGGGGGAAGGAGAGAAAAAAGGGGGGAAGGGGTTAAGTGTATAAGAGGCTTATTTACACAGTATTAACATGCTGACAAAAAAGGTTACAATATTGATATCGTACAACATCGAAGGGGGAAATAATGGGGGGGTAAAAAAGAACTGGGGTAAAAATAATGGGGGGGGGGTAAAAAAGAACGGGGGTTAAAAATAAAAGGTAAATAAAACACCCTGAAAAAAAAAATGAACAATAACAAAAAAAAAAAACCCAAAGAAACGCTGAGTTAAGGCTTAAAAAGTGTATAAAAAATAACACAGTTAATATCCAAAATGAACCAAAAGGTACAGAATATAGATGAGGTTTGGGGGGGGACCCCCCAGGCTCTATACAGGGGGTATGTACAGGCAGGCACAAGGCAAAGCGGTGGGACCCCCCCAGACCCCCCAAAAGCGGGGCTGTGGGATGGGGGGGGTCCAGCCCCGGGGGGACGCAGCTCTGCCCTCGAAAGGGACCCCAAAAGAACACAAAAAACCCCCCAAAATGGTTAAAAATCAACCCCAAATGGAGGCGCTCGGGCCCAGAGTCCGTCTGGGGGGGAGGCAGTGGGACCCCCCCTCCTCTGCTCCCCCTCCTCCCCCAGCTGCGTTTTCGCTCCGTCCACGGTTCGTTTTTGGGGTGAATTTCTGGTTTTTTTAGCAGCACCAAGTTCTTGGCCAATAAATATATATATATATTTGTATCCAAAAATGGGGGGGGGGATGGGGGGTCTGGCAGGGGGCAGGGGGAACGCCACCAAACACACCGATCAATAACCCCTTCCGAGATACACAAAAAAATAAAACCAAACCGCAGAGATTCAAAGTGCTCTGAAACCGTCTTTGGGTGTCACCAAACCTGCGGGGGCACGGCCCGCGGCGCCAGGGGGGCTCGTCCTCCTCCTCCTCCTCCTCCTCCTCGTGCTGGGGGGGTCCTGCTGCCACCCCCCTCCCCGCTTAGATGAGGGAGATCCGTACGGGAATGCCGGGGGACTCCGTGCGCTGCGGCGAGTGCTGGCTGACCAGGTGCTCCACCACCGTGTGCTTGGACATGTGCTTCATCAGATAGGTCTCCTGGGGAAGGGGGCACAGGGGTCAGGGGGGCCCGGGGGGCTCCGGGGGGGTCCGGGGTGCCCCCCGTGCTCACCGAGGTGTAGGCACGGCCGCACATGCTGCAGCAATAGGCCTTGGCGTGTTTGATGGCGTGGGCAGACAGGTGGATCTGCAGCGAGGCCGAGTCCGTGTAGGCCCGGTAGCAGTTGGGGCACTTGTAGGGCTTGTCCTTGTTGTGCTGGCGCTGGTGGGACTGGGGGGGCACGGGGGGGTCAGGCAGGGCTGGGGGGACCCCTCAGTGCCCCCCCTGCCCCAGGCCCCCCGCACTGACCTGGAGGTTGGAGAGCTGGGTGAAGGCCTTCTCGCAGCCGGGGTGGGGGCACTTGTAGGGTCTGTCGCCGGTGTGGATTCTGGGGACGCACAGACACGCACGCGGGGTCACGTCACCGCCCCGCCACCACCGCGGGCACGGGGACATCGGGGGGATGGGGGGCTGGGAGATGGGACAGGATGGAGGTGCTGGGGACAGTGAAGGTGGGGAGGATGGGCGTGGTGACAAGGATGAAGGTGGTGAGGAGGGACTGGCACAGTGTGGACACACAACCACGGCGGGGTCAATGAAAGCGGTGAGGATGAGGAGGATGGTGGGGATGACAGAGACAGTGGAGACAGACTGGTGTGGTGGGGAAGATGAGGGTGGTGAGGATGAGGGTCACAGGGAGGATGAAGGTGGTGAGGATGGACTGACACAGCACGGACAGACGACCATGGTGGGGTCAATGAAGGTGGTGAGGATGAGGAGCGTGGTGGGGATGAAGAAAGCAGTGGGAACGAGCTGGGTGAAGATGGAGGAGCACAGTAGGGACAATAAAGGTGCTGGAGATGATGAGTGTGGTGGGAATGATGAAGGCCATGGGGACAGTCGGTGTGGGGGGAATGGATGAGCACAGTGAGGTAGGGGTGACAAGGATGGTGCAGACTATGAAGGTGTTGGAGACGACGAGAGGGACAATGAGCATGGTGGGGATGATGAGTGTGTTGGGGACGATGAAGGTGGTGATAATGAGTGGGCTGGGGATGGTGAAGGTGCTGGGGATTATGAAAGTGCTGATGAGTGTTTTGGGGAGGCTGAAGGTGCTGGAGATGATGAAGGTGCTGGGGATGACGGTGGTGGTGAGGATGATGAGTGTGTTGGGGATGAGGAAGGTGCTGGAGACAATGAGCATGGCAGGGATCATGGTAGTTGTGACGAGTGTGTCGGGGATGATGAGTGTGTCAGGGATGATGAGTGTGTTGGGGATGATGAGTGTGTTGGGGATGATGAAGGTGCTGGAGATGATGAGTGTGTTGAGGATGATGAGTGTGTTGGGGATGATGAGTGTGTTGAGGATGATGGTGTTGGGGATGATGAAGGTGCTGGAGATGATGAGTGTGTTGGGGATGATGAGTGTGTTGGGGATGATGAAGGTGCTGGAGATGACGAGTGTGGTGGGGATGGTGGTGGTGACGATGAGCGTGGCAGGGATGAAGGCAGCAGCGGGGCCAACGGGCACCATAAAGCAGGGCAGCAGAGCCGCCAGTGCAGGGTGCAGGGCTGCCCCCTCCCCGAGGGCCCCCCAGCCCTGCCGAGGGTCCCTCACCGGGTGTGCTGCTGGAGGTGGGACAGCTGGCGGAAGGACTTCTCGCAGTAGGAGCAGTGGTAGGGTTTGACGCCCAGGTGGATCCGCAGGTGCTGGGCCAGGTAGGAGGCGTTGGCGAAGGACTTGGAGCAGTGGGGGCACTTGTGGGGCTTGGCCTCCGTGTGCGACTTGGAGTGGATCTGCATCTCCGACTTGGTGAAGAACGTCAAGGGGCAGACCTTACACCTGGAGGGTGTGGGGGAGAACCCCGCAGGGACCGGGCTGGGGCGGGGGTCGCCCCGCCAGCGCCCCGGCCCCCACGGCAGGCGGGAGGGTGCCTACCTGTACGTCTTGCCCTCTTTGGCCGTCTCCCCCGAGGCCAGGATGGGGTAGGGCACCACCAGGACGGGCGGGCCCGACGGGTTTTCCGCCTTGATCTTCTTGCGGCCCCGCTCGGCCTTGGGCGCTCCCAGCAAGCCGTGGCCCTGGATTGTCTTGATGGAGTCGAGGAGGGGGGGGCTGGTGATTCCTGAGATTAGGGTGGGCGAGGAGGCGATGAGGCGGCTCTGGCTGGTGGAGGTGGGGGTCGAGGGCGTGGTGGTCCCGGTTCCCGGGCTGGACTCCGAGGTGCTGACGGCGGGCGCGCGGGACGCCAGCCCCAACCCTGGCGAGGGGGAGGAGAGGGGAGGCGGGGGCTCTGGGGGGGCCCCCTGTGCCCTCCTGGCCCGGGGGGCCCCCGTGGTACCTGTGACGGTGCTGGTAGCCGGCCGGGCGTGCAGGGCCACGTCAGGCTGGGGCACGGCCTGGGGGTGCAGCCCCGGCACCTGCTGCAGCTTGGGCAGGGACATGATGGACTGGCTGCTCTCGGCGGGCGAGGGGGGCACCAGGAGGGGCTGCTGGGAGGCCACCGAGGTGGGGGGCAGGTGTGGGGGGCGGATCTTCTCCGCCATCAACTGCTCCTTGATTTTGTTGATCAGGACCAGGTTGTCCAGCTGAGGGGGGGGAAGGCAGAGAGATGGGTCAAGGCGCAGGAACCGGGACCCCCGGGACACCCGGCCTCCCCCTGGGCTTCCCCCACCGTGTCCATCCATCCTTCCCCCTCCCCAAAATCCCACTGTGGGGGTCCTACCTGGCTGGGCATGGTGGGGGGGGGCGGCCAGAAGTAGGGGTTGTTGAAGCGAGGCTCCGCCATCCTGGGGAGAGAGGGGGTGGTTATGGGGCATCGCCGGTCCCCGCACGGACCCCCTTCCCTCCCACCTCCCTCGGGGGGCTCCGACCCCCCCAAACCAACCACCACCCCCCAGGAAGCAAGACCCAGGCTCTGAGCAAGGGCAGGGAGCGGGCAGGACTGAGGAATCCCCCACAGGCATCTTCCCAGATGGAAATTCCTGCAGGATCAGGGAGACACCCGCCTGTCTCCGAGACCCCAAAACACCAGCGGATGCAATATGGGAAAGGGGGAAGGCTGACATTTGAGGGAAAAAGCTTGGGATATCTCCCAGGCTCTGGAGGTATCCTCCCCATCCAGGAGGGGTTAGAGGTGGACAGGACACTGCTGTGGGAGATGGCAAATCCCAGCTGAATTCCCCTCCAAAAAGCCCCCCCAAAGGCGAGCGAAGCCCCCGAGAGCGGCGGGGCGGGGACCCCCGGCTGCAGCAGGGCCGGGAGATTTATGGAGACGCTCAAAGGCGTTGGGGGAATTAATTCTAAATCCATTCCCGGTAACAGGAAGCAGCTGGAAGGGGACAGCGAGGGGGTGATCCCAGCGGAACGGCCCAGCATGACCAGGCACTGCCACACCGGCAAATCCCCTCACAGGGGCAAGTGGGAAAGGGTGGGATGGATGGGAGGGGTCCCGCAGGAGCTCCCACTCCAAAATAAACCAGGCCATGGCCGGGATCCTGGGAGAAACTGGAGCAGTGTGTGTCCCCAGAAGCCCTGGGGGTGGCAGGATTTGGAGGCAGCGGGATTTGGGGGTGATGAGCCTTCCTCTTCCTCCTCCTCCTCCTCCTCCTCCTCCTCACACTTGCTCACTGCCTCAGGGTCAGACCCTGAGCTCTCCATAGCCCCAGAGAAAGGGACTCCTTCAGCATCCCAACAGCCTGAAGGAACTGTGGGATTCCCCCCACTTTTTGGGAGGAAACTGAGGCAGGAAGAAGGGAACCCCCCCCCCATGCTCCAGAGCAGGACGGCACAGGCGCATTTTTGGGGAGTCGGGGAACAGGAGCCATTTCCCACGGCAGACCCCAACACCAGCTTTGGGAATTCCCCTTCCCAACCCTGACCTGCTCCAGATCACCTCCCCACTGCACCAAATGTTGGGTTTTCCAGGTGGAAGCGGCGCCGGGTCCCGGCAGGGCGGGCAGAGCCAGGGTCCCGCTGGGTGCCATGGAATGGGAATTCACTGGGAATACGAAATGCACCTTCCCCCCCCAGGTGTTTTGGGTAATTACATATGTACCCACAGGCCGCCCACGCCGTGCATTTCCCCACTGGCTACGTATACACACATGTATACATATACATATACAGATAAGATCCCTTGGGATGATGAGCATGGGGTGAGCGACTCCGGTGCCGGCACAAGGAGTTGGACATTGGGAAGAGGGGCCAAAAGCAGAGCGGGAAGCAGGGAACCCCTCATGATGTGGAGGCAGGAGGAGCACAGGCAGAGGGTTCCGAGCCCCCTCAGCACAGCCAAGCCCCCGGCACCGACCCCCCCAATTTCAGCACCGACCCCCTGCCCCGGCGCGGCCGTGGGAAAACAGGAAACTGGAGCTATGATTAGAAGAGGGAATTTTGGAACTGCTCCCCCATCCCAGCAGGTGCCCCTCGACCTCTGTCCTTCCCATCCGTCCATCTGTCCCACTCCCTGTCCCGCCAGGAGCCGACAGCAGCACCCCCACGGATGAACCCCGGCCATGTGGCCCCCAGGCCACCAGCAGGACACGGCACAGACCCCCCACCAGACCCAGGACCCCCCGTGCGAAGCTGGACAGGGGCTGCAAAGCCACGGAGGGTATTTTGGGGAGAAAAGCGCAAATATCACGTGTTTCCCCGCCCCCACCTGGGGAGGGCTGGCTAAAGAAACGAGGAGTTATTGGTAAAAGCGGCGTGCTCGGAGCTGGATGAACAAGAGGAGGGAAGAAATGGTCGGCGTTGCCAAAATAATGATCCAAATCCCTGTTCCTGTCCCGGTTTCGTGCGGTAAATCCCGCGGTGTTTGGTCGGGAACGGCGTCCCCCCTCTCCCGGGGCCGGGGGAGGGAGTGGGAGAGGGGAGAAAGCAGATGGAAAAATATAGATATGTATATATATATAAAAACTCCCTTTTTTCTCTTTTCTCAGCTAACTATGAAAAATGGAAGCTGACATGCAGCAAAGGCGGAAAAAAAGGAAAATCCATTAAAATGGAAATTGTGGAGGGTGGGGAAATGCGGCGGCGCATCTCTGCGGGGCACGGGGGTGGCAGGGCTCTCTGTGCCCCCACATTTTGGCTGGGCAGGGGGAAACCCCCCCGTGGGTAACATCTCCAGTGGCGTGGTCCCAACCGTGGAGGGAAGAGCCCAGCATCCTCCACGGGCACCGGATTTGGGTGCTGAGGGGATGGCAAAGGTTATCCCGGGGGACAAGGAGGGTGCCCAAAGCACAGTGGGGACCCAAGCGGGAACGAGGGATGTGGGAAGAGCAAGCGGGAAGATGCGCAGAGCCCCAAAAGCAGGGGCTGAACCTCGGATTCCCACGGCATCACCACTCTGCCGGGCCCCGGGGGGAAGCGGCAGCGCCCTAAAGAGACCAAAAGCCTCCTTCCCGTGGGGAGGGAAGAGCGGGAGAAGCCGGAGAGCCGGGGCCGGGGGTGGCGAGGGGAGAGCGGGGGCTGCGGTGCCGGAGCCGTCAGGTGGTTGGTACTCACAGGGTGGCCTCTGGAGCCAGGTGGGCGCAGCTGCCTGGGGAGACGTGTCGCTGAGGCTCCAGATTGATGGGAGGTAGATGATGGCACGGGTGGGCACGAGCTCACTAGAGCCTTCCAACTTCCTACCCAACTGCCGCTAAGTCAAGCTACAGTTCTCTAGGGAACGCCTCTACCTTGGCAGCCCTCTCTGTCTCGCCTTCGCTGAAATAAAAAGAAACAAGAGATTTCTTTTCACGGCACCGCCGGGAGAAAAGGGGAAGCTCAAGGGGCAGCTCAAGGGGCAGCTCAAGGGGCAGCTCAAGGGGCAGCTCAAGGGGCAGCTCCTGGGGCCTGGCGAGCGACCACCGACCCAGCACGGCTGGAAAATGGGGGGCTGGGAGGCAAGGGGAGGGGTCTGGGGGGCAGCAGAGCAGCACTAGGTGGCTCGGCGTGTCCTCGACACCGAGCGTGGTGTCCCCCTGAGTGTCCCAGCGAGGGCACCAGGGCACAGCTCCTGCCTGCCCTCCCCGTGCCAAGCGGCGAGCGCAGGAAAGCCGGCGGCGGCCCAAGACGGCGCGGTGGGCGAGAGCCAAGCAGGGGGAGGCCCCCTGAGTGTCCCCCCACCCAAATCCCACACTGGGGACAGTGACACTGCGTCCCCGGGCCAGAGAACCCAGCTCTGCCCCACGCCGTGCCCCAGTTTCCCCCCAAAACACAAGGCCCCCCATAAGAACAAGTATCCCTGGGGTTTGCCTGGAGCAGGAGGGTTTTTGGAGGGAAAGCCCATCCACAAACCCCCCACATGCCAAAGCTACCAGGGTGGGAAGCAGCATCCGGCCCCATCCTCAGGGAAGGCACATCTCTTCCCGCCCCGACTGTGCTCATCCGGAGGGATTCACCCCGCAGCCGAGGGGGCAGGAGCCGGGAAGCAGGAAGGCCAGGAGAGCCCCGAGCCACGGGGGGCTCGGGGAGGGGGTGGCCCCGCGCCGCAAGAATTCACCCAAGATGGAACCAATTAAAGCCCCGGCTTCCGCCCCCCGAAGGGCCCTGGGCCGGGGCTTCTCCTCCTTCTGCATTTCCAGCAAAACCGACCCAAAACAA